TACTTCCTTCACCCCCAACACCTCCCCACAGCCCTACGGCACCTTCCCCTATAACCGGCGAAGGTGCAACACCTGCCCATTTACCTCCTCCCTCCCCAGTTTCCAAGGGGCCAAACATACCCTTCAGGTGAAGCAACACTTCACCTGCACTTCCAAGAATCTAGTCTACTGCATTCGCTGCTCACAATGTGGTCTCCACTACATTGGGGAAACGAAGCGTAGACTTGGCGACCGCTTCGCAGAGCATCTACGTTCTGCTCGTAAAAAAGACCCTGAACTACCTGTTGCCTGCCTTCAATGCACCACCTTGCTCCCTGGCCAACATCTATGTCTCCGGCTTGCTACAGTGTTCCAGTGAAGCCCAGCGCAAGCTGGAGGAACAACACCTCATTTTCCGCTTGGGGACCCTACAGCCCTCCGGACTCAATATTGAGTTCAATAATTTTAGGGCCTAAACTCTCCCATGTCCCAGCCCCCTACCCCACACACCAGGTCTTGTTACCACGTAGCCTGCCACTACACACCCCCTGTTGTTAGTCACTAACAGTCCCCATTAACAACTATTCACCCTCCCAGCCTGATCGTTAGCAACTCCTTTGTCTGTCCAACTGTCTTTCTCTCTCTTTGGGCTCTATCCTATCATTTACTCCCTACCCCAGCCACCTCCCTATTTTTTGCATATAAACTGACGTTTTCCCAGCCACCATCAGTTCTGAGGAAGGGTCACCGGACCCAAAATGTTAACTCTGTTTTCTCCTCCACAGATGCTGCCAGACCTGCTGAGCTTTTCAAGCAACTTTGTTTTTGTTCCTATTGTTTGGTCTTCCTGTAGTTTGATTTGAGATGAATTTCGAGAGTTCCAAACCCCTACAACTTGGTATCAGTGTTAATGATCTTGTTCTATAGTTCAATGTTTTTGTTCAATTATTTTAAAATGAGTGCAATTCATTGATGAGCTGTTTGTAGTTAAAGGGATCATGCCAAACGAAGTCCACTTAATATCCCAAAGTAGGAACTGAAATGTTGAATGAAAGGTCACTTAAGCCCATTCTTATTTGCGATTGTTGCAAGATCGTCTTTCAAGATATTTGGGATTGAATTCATTTTCCACTATTCAAACACAGGAACAGGGGAAGCTTGTTGACCCCCTTGAATCTGTTGTGTCATTTAAAGAGATCACATCTGTTATGAAATGATTACCATGTTTTTCCCTCCAACCAACTCTCTCACTGACTGGCCCCTGCCCATTCACTCAGCAGCTCAGAATCAAAATCACAGAAAGTTGTGGAGCAGAATGAGGCCAATCAGCCCATCATGTCTGCACCGGCCCTCAGCACGTTAACTTAATGTTGATCCCCTGCCCCTTCCCCATATCCTTGCACATTGTTTCTATTTTTATTATTTATTCATGGCATCGTCAGCCAGGCCAGCATTCATTGCCCAGAGGGCAGTTAAGAGTCAACCACATTGCTGTGGGTCTGGACTCACATGTAGGCCAGACCAGGTAAGGATGGCAGATTCCTTCCCTAAAGGACATTAGTGAGCCAAATGGGCTTTTCCGACAATTGGCGCATTTAAATATTCATTACTTCAACCTGCCTCAACCACACCTCTATACAAAATTCCAGATGAATCTTTGATGAAGTACAATTCATCTCATTTCATTTACTCTGATTTAAACAACTCAGAGGCTTGACTTTCACTGAGAGAAAAGAGAACATGGAACAAGAAGGAAGTTAGCAAAAGTGGGGCGTAGTCTCAAACCCCATTGCTATGAAATCATTTTCTAATAGTGTGCCTTTGTGCAAAGAAAGGAAAAAGAAAGATTTGCATTTATATAACTTCTTTCATAAGCTCTGGATGTCCCATATTGCTTTACAGATAATGAAGTGCTTTGGAGGTGTAGTTGCTGTTGATGCAAGAAACATATTGAAACACATTTACAATATGCTTCCTTCTTCTGATGTAAATGAAGAAACCAGAGGAAACACATTTCTCCCATTGGTCATTTTAACTATTTAAAAAATTATTTATTCATAGTATGTGGCCAGCATTTTTTTCCCATTGTCCCTGAGAAGATGGTGGTGAACTGTTTCCTGGGACTGCTGCAGTTCATGTTAATGAGCTACACCCTAGTGCTTTAAAGAGGGACTTCCCTGACTTCCATCCAGAGATGACAAGGGAACGGCAATATATTTCTACTTGAGGATAATGTGTATTGAATGGCGGAGCAGGCTTGAAAGCTGAATGGACTCATCCTGTTCCTATATTCCACAGGGGAAATCACAGGTGATGGTTATTTCCATCTGCTGGTTGGCTTGTACTTTGAAATTTCATTCTCAGATTTGCAGTCAATGTATCATTACTTAACTGTAACCTTTTCTGGAGAAAATGGCAGATGCTTTATAAAGGGTGAGATTTCTGGTTGTCTCCTGGAGTGAATAGATGTACCATTTCACTCTACAATAGTTAGTAGAAGGACTCTTCAGAACTTTAATTTTTTGGCAAGACAAATTTTTGATCTGCAGTTGGAAGTGCTTCTGAAACTAAAATTGGTTGCCAGTCTTGGAAGGTGAGGAAGTTTACATTGCCTTCTTCTGAAACATAAATTCATTTGGTCTGGCAGAAAGGTATCCACAAAGGAGGTGTTCCTTTGCAAACAAACCTTCTCATAACCAACCAAGGGAATGGATGAATAAAGAAGAGAAGGCTGCTCATCCCTTCCCACTTGGGAGTTTGACAATTTGGGATTTCCATTTGGAACTGTTACAACTTGATGAACCTTGTTGCTGAGGTTGAACAAGACGTTAGTGAGGCTTCTTCTGGAGTACTGTGTCCAGTTCTGGTTGCCCTGTTACAGGAAGGATACTATTAAGCTGGACAGGGTTCAGAAGAAATTTACCAGGATGTTGCTGGGAATGGAGGGTTTGAGTTATAAGAAGAGGCAAGACAGGTTGGGGCATTTTTCACTGGAGTGTCGGAGTTTGAGGGGTGATCTTAATGAGGTTTATAAAATCATGAGGGGTAAAGATGAGGTGAATGGCAGGTGGCTTTTCCCTAGGGTGGTATTTCAAGACTATTTGGAGCATACGTTTAAGAGAGGAGAAAGATTTAAAAAAGGCATGAGAGGCAAATTTTTTCACAGAGTGGTTTATGTGTGGAATGAACTTCCGGAGGAAGTGGTGGATGCAGTTAGTTACAACGTTTAAAAGATATTTGGATAAGTACATAAATAAGAGATGTTTGTGGGGATGTGGGCCAAGCACAGGCAGGTGGGACTAGTTTAGTTTGGGAATATGGTTGGCGTGGACTGGTAGGTTCAAAGGGGCTGTTTCCATGCTTTATGACTCTGTAGAGTCTGGTTGTAATATCTGAGAGCTGTACTCCTAACATTTAGAATATACTGCTTCTCCCTTTGTCCACCTACACCTCTCTGCTTTTCTTGTTCTCAGGTTGTTAACTTTTTCTAAAAAAAAGTTCATTCTTAGAATGTGGAATTCTTAGCAAGATCAGTGTTTATTGCATTTCTGAATTCCCTTTGTGTTTGGCCATTTTAGAGGGTGGTTATGAGTCAACCACATCGTTGTGCGTCTGGATCATATATAATCAAAATCCCCTTCAAATAGTGTCATAGAATCTTTTATGCTACCTGAGATGGGAGACTCATCTAAAATTGGCATCTATGGAAGGGTGAAATTCCTTCAGTTTCACAATTGGCTGCCAACTGCGATTTTGGGCTAAAGACAATTGGAACTGACAACTTGTGACTCAAAAACAAAGAGTGTTCCAACTATACCAGCAGCAAGCTGTTAGGAAGTTAAAAGGTATGTTGACCTCCAGTATAAGACGGTTTGAGTTTGGGAGCAAGGAACTCTTATTGAACTAAGGAACAAGTTTATTGATATCAGGAATTGTTGGATAATAATTTGCCATGAGGCACCGTTAAAGGAAAATTGGATAAGTCTTTGACCAAATAGTATGTGTGAGAGAGAGAGTGAGAAAGAGAGAGGGAAAGAGAGAGGGAAACAAAGATAGACTGAGAGAAAAAAACCATGGATTAGTTTTAAAAATTGAAAGAACTGCAGATGCTGTACATCAGAAACAAAAGCAGAAATTGCTGGAAAAGCTCTGCAGGTCTGGCAGCATCTGTGGAGAGAAATCAGAGTTAACACCTTAGAGTCATAGAGTCTTAGAGATGTGCAGCACAGAAACAGACCCTTTGGTCTAACTTGTCCATGCTGACTAGATATTCTAAATAAATCTAGTCCCATTTGCCAGTATTTGGCCCATATCCCTCTAAACCCTTCCTATTCATATACCCATCCAGGTGCGTTTTCAATATTGTAATCGTATCAGTCCCCATCACTTCCTCTGGCAGCTCATTCCATACACGCAGAACCCTCCGTGTGAAAATGTTGCCCCTTAGTTCCCTTTTAAGTTGTTTCCCTCTCACCTTAAATCTACGCCTTCTAGTTTTGGACTCCCCCACACTGGGGAAAAGACCTTTTCTATTTACCCTATCCATCCCCCTCATGATTTTATCAACATCTATAAGGTCACTCCTCAGCCTCCAATGCTCCAGGGAAAATAACACTTGCCTATACAGCCTCTCCCAATAGTTCAAACTCTCCAAACCCGGCAACATCCTTGTATATCTTTTCTGAACCCGCCTTCCTCTGAGTGGTCACTCTATCTGAAGTGTTAACTCCAATTTCCCTCCACAGATGCTGAATGGATTAGTTTTAGATACTTTAACAGAGAGGTGGCACAGACAAGCATTGTATATTTTCTCTTAGAACTTCGGTGTTATTTTTGAAAGTACTGCATAGATAGATCAACTGCCAAAACCATGCTGGATATGTACGAGTTGTATTCAACCATTTCTATATCTAAGCAAATATTTAATGACTCAAACCAAAAATGCAAAAATTGGGAACAGAAAGCAAAGTACCTTCAATTATTATTTCAGAGCACTTATATGAAAAGAATAACAAGTAGAATACTGGTAATATATTACATTTATTTATGTATCATTAGCATACACTGGTGTTCATCAGTTAAATAACAATTGCATTTATTTCACAGTGGAGTGCAACAAAACATTGATTCATTACTTTGAGAATGATATACTTCATAATTATGAAGATGAAAAACCCTACCCTATTCCTGTATTGTCAAGATAACTAACATTGAGATGTCACAGCCATGCATTAAATGCACTTGTGTCAGTAAAGGTGGGGAAATGGCACAGGAGTGGGTCTTGCTTTCCTGAATGACAGGCAGCAGTTTGCTTTACTGTTAGACAGTGACTGTGGGGCTTACTGAAGGTAACAATCACATAATGTTCAAGGAACACAGGATGAACATTAGTTCAACCATAGACCATTCTCTAAAATGCAGTGTGCTTCACCGAACCCAACAGCTTAAATTACTTCATGAAATATAAATTGCCCTGTGTTACTTCTCTGCATTGAGCTTAATGTGGAAGCAAAAAGTATTTAAGCTGCTTCTCTGCAAACATCCTTAAATACTCTTCAAAGTGGCTCAAAAAATGAATGTGATTTTTGGTTCTATCCATATTGCTGATCCATGCAAACCAGGAAGGCTCCAGATTTAATTCCCAGTTGTCCGGAATTAGCTGCTTTCAGATAGGGCGCTGCTTCTGGTTTCAGCGCTTGGGTTAAGAAGGAAAGAATGTCAGCCAGGGTTACTGGTTATTGCTACCCACTGACTGCTATTGCAGTAAGGAAGTGCATTTGGGAATCTGCTGTTTACATTTTCCTTGCAATGGCACTACATCTCATTTAATCCATGAGCAGCACAGTGCTTTATCTGACACCTTGCACACTTCGGTTAAGACTTCATGTTGCAAGTGACCTCAGGATGGGGTTTTTCCCATCTTTCTGAACATGTCTGTAAAAAAATAGCATTAAAAGTGGGAGCCCCTACTTTCAGCATCTCGTCACAGAGAGGAGAGCTACTATCTGAGCTGGGAATAAGATATCTTCGACAAAGTACAACAGTACATACTTTCACATGTGCCAAATCAAGATATTCCACACGAGTATCATTGTTTTAGATAAGCAATAGCATACTACAACCAAGAAAAAAGATGCACAGTTTAATAATAACTGGTGCCTGCACAGTTATGCTCTTTTCCACATCACTCAGTGTATCAGACGCCAGTGCAAAGCACTTTACAATACACGTTTGCCAAGTTATTTATTCTGAAAGCTGTTGAGGCTTTGAGTGCAAATCACTTGCATTTGATTTTGTGTACTTCTGAATTTATTCACAGAATGGTATGATCCCCGACACTATGATCAAACATTGTTCCAAACATGACCTGTAGGAAGAAGAAAAGAGTGAAGATTTCAAGTACGATATGCATTAATAGTGTAATCTTTCTTTTAGCTAAGGCACAAAATATGTTGTGTTACACTCCCTTCTTTGTAAAGGAAAAGATTAAATTCAAAGTGATAATCTTTTTTCCAAACATATAACTTATTAATGTATTATTGTTCCAGTAGTGATAGCAATATCTACCAGTCATCTGCTTAAATGCTTCACCATCTGATAACAATACTTATTTACTGGCTGTGTAAATATTTCTAATACACATGGAATCATGAATTTCATAAACAAAAAAATAGAGTTCCCAAGAGGGCAGCACAGTGGCTCAGTGGTTAGCACCGCTGCCTCACAGTGCCAGGGACCTGGGTTTGATTCCACCCTTGGTAACTTTCGGTGTGGAGTTTGCATGTTCATAGATATTAGAATCCCTACAGTGTGGAAACAGGCCCTTCAGCCCAACAAGACCACACTAACCCTCAGAGTATCCACCCAAACCTATCCCCCTATAGCCCACCTAATCTCTGCACATTCCTGGACACTATGGGCAATTTAGCATGGCTAATTCACCTAGCCTGCACATCTTTGGACAGTGAGAGGAAACCAGAGCACCCGGAGGAAACCAAAGCAGACATGGGGAGAACATGCAAACTCCACACAGACAGGCACCCGAGGGTGGAATTGAACCCAGTGTGAAGCAGCAGTGCTGACCGCTGTGCCACCGTGCCGCCCCCTGTCTGCCTATGTCTGCATGGATTTCCTCTGGGTACTCCAGTTTCCTGCTACAGTCCAAAGATGTGCAGATTAGGTGGATTGGCCATACTAAATTGCCCACTGTATCCAGGGATGTGCAGGCTAGGTGGATTAGCCATGGAAACAGCAGGGTTACAAGGATAGCATAAGGGGTGGTTCTGGATGGGATGCTTTTCGGAGGGTTGGTGTAGATTTGATGGGTTGAATGGCCTTCTTCTACACTGTAGAATTCTTTGAAGTAAAGAGCTGTAATAAATCTATGCAAATCATCAGATTATGAGACAATTAGAATACTGTATCCACTTGGAGGAAGTTTCTGGAGACAGAAGAATTACCAGGCTAATTTCAGGAATAGGAGAACTTTTGTTATGACAAAAGAATAGAAAAACTGGACTTTTCATCAGAGACATTTAAAAGAGGATCTGACAGAGGTATAGGTAGCTCTAATGGGATAAAAAATACTTCCATTGACCAGTGAAACAACAATCGTTAACTAGAAATTTATGATTACTACCAAAATAATAAGAAGGGAAGAGAATTTTCTTTTACAGAGAGTGACGGGCCATCAGTAGCAGTGGTGGAGGGATATAGCTTCCATATTGCCTTTAAACAACTGAGCTAAATATCTTAAAAAATTCAGGAATGTCTTGGGAAAAGGCAGTACAATGGAAATGACTGATAGACTCTCTTAAAGATTCAGCACAACAGACTTTCGCTTTGTGGGATAATGATTTCACTTAACTATTCCAAACCTAATTTGAAAATGATTCATGTTGATACTACCGCATCAAGGAGAAAGTGTTCCCTTCGCTTTCACCAAAAACCTTCAACTTGAGCTGAGAAATAACACGACTAACTTATTCCCTAGACACCTAGTCTGTAAAACTTTATTCATCTGTGATATTTCCCTTGCTCAAGCAGCCTGCAAGCTTTGAAAACTGAAGCTTGGTATTGTTTCACTACATCCTGATTGCTGTTTTCTGTCCTATTAATGAACTTGGTGTTCGTTAGTGTGACGCTGGCTCTTTGTCTGACTTTCTGAACAAAAACAAAATGTCTTTGTCATTGGAATAAGATAATTTAATAACGTTAAGTTTACTGAAGATAGCTGATTAATAATAGTCTTGGGCAAATTAATTTTTTTTATTCACAGGATGTGGACGTCACTGACTAGGCCAGCATTTATTGCCTATCCCTGATTGCCCAGAAGGCAGTTGAGAGTCAACCACATTGCTGTGGGTCTGGAGTCACATGTAGGCCAGACCAGGTAAGATGGCAGACTTCCTTGCCTGAAGGGCATCAGTAAACAGCTGGGTTTTTATGACAATTGAAAATGGTTTCATGGCCATTAATTCCAGACTATTTTTTAATTGAATTCAAATTCCACCATCTGTCGTTGCAGGATTCAAACTCTGGATCCTGGAATATTAGTTGAGTTTCTGGATTAATAGTCAAGCAATAATACCACTAGGGCTATTGCCCAGTTTAGAATCTTGATAGCAATTGAGAGTGAGGTCTATGCATTGTATATTGATGAACGAATGCATTGATCATGTGATGCCAGGACATGAATTCTCATCTGGTGATTTTAGAATTGCAGCATACTGCCTTCAGGTAGTTGAGAAAGAAAGAACTTGCATTTACATAGCACCTATTCTGCTTTCAATCTGCCCCAAAGTACTTCACAGCCAAACTTTTGAAGCATAGTCTTGGCTGTTATATAGGTAAATAATGCAGTCTATTAGCAAGGACTTTCAAACATTAAATGGGATAAATGATCATTTAATCTCTTTTTGATGCAGCTGGTTGAGAGAGGAATGTTGAAAGGGCACTGGATGATCATTATTCTCTTTTACAAATAGCATAGCATCTTCTAGGCCTATCTGAATGATTAATTTGGTCCTTGGTTCACAGCCTCATCCAGAAGATGGCACCTCTAACTGCGGCACTGAGGTGTTAGCGAGAATATGTCCATGAGTACTGGGATGAGCTCCTAATTTCTGACTTGGAAAAGGGGGTTGTACCAAGTGAGAAACCCAATATTTGAAGCACTTCTGGAGAGAGAGTAGCAGAAATCAACAGTGAGTCAATCTGCACAGCTCTCAACAGTCAGTGTTGAAGCTGTATTAACATTGGCTATCTGCCTACCATAGCAACTCAGGAATATTATTTATCATTAGGAATAGAGAAAACAAAGTTGCATAAAATGAACAGCAAGCATCACAAGGGAAATAAAATAACATTTATGTATTAATGATAAGCCTGGTTCCATTTTCAAATATCTGAGCCAATAGCTTAAAGGTTCAAAACCTACAATGATTGACACATCAAGGTTCTATGATATGTTATCTTTCAGATGAGTTATTAAACAAGGTTTATGCACTTTCATATCTATCAGATGTTTTCACATTTTAAGGATTTCATTTGTTGTATATGAAATATTTTGGGTTCTGCATTTTTAAAGTTATTGACAGGTTATATGCTGAGAGGCTGTTTCACCTCATGGGAGAGTCTAGGACCAGAGGGCATAGTCTCAGAATTAATCAGCTTAAGACTGAGATGAGGAGGAATTTCTTCTCTGAGTGTTGTGCGTCTTTTGAACTCATTGCTATGGAGATTCGTCGGGCAGAGTCCTTATGTATGTTTAAGGCTGAGATAGATGGACTCTTGATCAGTGGCGGAAACAGGGCTTATGATGAAAAGGCAGCAAAGTGGGCATGAGGAGTGTGAAAGCAGCCACAAATGGTGGAGCAGGCCCAAACAGCTGAATAGTCTACTCCTGTTCCTATTTCTTATGGTCTTTTGGTTTTAAATTAAAATGAGCTCCATAGGAAAATGACATTGATTTTTAAACAATGTGCTTACTACCACCACTAGGTGGTCCCACAGTTTCAGAATAATCAGTAAAGAATTGTGGTATGATGAAGAAAAATTATAGGCTAGCTGCAATTCAGATAGAAATCTCTAAATAACTTCATAGTTGCCACTAATGGGTTTAAGTATTTAACTAATAAAAGGTCATGTCTTACGTTAATGTAGCTGTCTTAATCATTGCACGACCAATGGTACAGAGAAGCAATTAAACTACTAATGTCTTAACTCGATTTGCAACTGCTCTACATTAAACATTTTAAGCTGTTACTACTTGGGGCAGAATTAGGATAGACCTTATATCAATGTTTTATATTAATTACCATTGTTGATCTTGGTGGAATTTGTTATGATAAGATTTCACACATAAAAATTGATCTTAAAAAACAAGAATTCTCTCAGTTAGTTCTCAACTTCCGTTTTCTCTAATGTCTCACCCTTACTTGTCCTGAGAATCAGGACTTGTGGATAGCCAAGACCTACCCCAAAAAACTCCATTGAAAAATTTCATTTGCACTTAATGTGTTCTGCTAATCTTGTACGTGCACCTACCAGAGTGTTATACTTTTATACTGCATCTCATAGGATATTCGGTTCTTGGAGTAGATGTAGAGAAGGGGCACGTGATTTATTGAAGAACTTTCAAAGTGGATGCATGAGAAAAGACTGACTACCTGAATGTTTTCTCACTTTTAAAGAAAAAACACTGAAGCCAGATTTTTGCCACGACAGAAAGCATCTGCGTTGCGTCAAAAATGCCAATCCCAATTCCCGCCTTTGAACCCCGCATCTTGTATTTTCATGGGAGTCATATCAGGTCAGTCTATGACTCATGTGGGCCATTTAAATGACTGTCTCCACTGAAATCAAATTTGTCAATCCCAGGTATCTGGAATGTGGTGACTAGACTAGGTAAGGACAAGTCTGTTCTCACTGTGTTTCCTTCTGATAACCAATGTATTCCTTTGGAAAGCTAAAGTACCCTGTGAATATGGTCCTAGGACACCTTGACCATGGGGTTAGGGATCTTTAGTGGAGGGGTGGGAGAATCAGTTGTCCTTTAAGATTGTTAATTGTGGAGAATTTTGTGTTTAAAAGGTATATAAACTCCTTGGAACTCTCCAGCCTACTGAGATTTGTCAAGAAACATCTAGAAGTGTTGATGTGTTGAGACTGTTAACATTTGTCAAAATGAGTTTTAATGAATGCGAGTGTTTTTCTCAACAGAGCAGTCCGCAAATTAGAATGTTAAGAAATAGAACTATGTCTTTTCTCCTGTCTGCATGCACACTTGTGGATACTCAATTAATTGGCTCTTTAGGTCAAGGGGGAAAAGTTATGTTGGTGGAAGTAAAAATCAAGTTTGCATAAGGGAATGAGCACCATGTTTTATATTTCCCTTCTTTTGGAGCCCTCTGGATTTGGTTCTGTGACACCCTGTTGAAGATAAAGCCCGTTTTATGGAGGTAAGGCTTCCTTTTGGGATCGTGAAGTGGTATAAAAAGTGCAAAAACTCATTAGCATTGCCAAAGACATGAGTGAACGCTCCACACTCTGGGGAGTTAAAGTAAAAACTAGAGCTAGGTATTTTAGAGTGACTGTTTACATAAGCCATTGTAGGATTTGTGCTGCATGACATATTTCTCAATTTGTCATTTTACCATGGCGCGGCTATCAAATGAGCATTTTGCTGGATGCTCCAACTATTTAAAATTTTTAAAAACTTTAATCTATTTTTCTAAACAACATTTTCAGAGATGTTATTATACACCTTTGGAACAGGTACGACCTGAACCCAGGATTCCAAATCCAGAGGTAGGGACGCTACCACAATAGCTCGTCTAACTGTTTACATAATGGAAATACTGGTGACATAAGTTATTTTACACTCAAGGGAAATTTTAATTTTCATAAGGGATTAGAATAATAGAATCCCTACAGTGTGGAAACAGGCCATTCGGCCCAACAAAGTCCACACCGCCTCTCTGAAGACCATCGCACCCAGACCCATTCCTCTATCCCTGCATTTCCTATGTCTAACCCACCTAACTTAAACATCCCTGGACTCTATGGGCAATTTAGCATGACCAATCTACCTACTTTGCACATCTTTTGAACACAATTTCAATGCATTGGGTGGTTTAAATTTGATGAGAATGTGTTTTTCCTTAATAGTGGCATCATCAGTAGGCCAATAAATTTACTTTCTGACAGAATGCCTTCTGATTCATGCCCAGGCCAGATAACAGGTATTAGCATAAAGAGGGAAGGGCAAAGGAAGATGGGTGGGGTGTATGAGTTGGAATGGGGGCCGGGGGGATGATTGTGGGTAGGTAGGGTATGAGGGGTAATGAGAGATAACTAGATTGTCATGGGTGTATAATGGGCAATGGGAGTGAGTACAGTGGGTTGACATAATGGACCATATAGGCTGAGGGGATTGAGGGAGTGAGAACAGAAAGGGTGCTTTCTGTTTAAATCTTTTTTAAAAACTCGGAACACAGTGCCAGGCACCCCAGGCAGATAAAAGAAAGTAAGAATTGCACAAGCTTTGTTTTATTATGAAGGTGGGAAGCACTTGGAACAGACAACTAGAACAAAGTGCATTAACGTTTTCAATTGTACTGTCTGACAGTCTGGTCAAGCTAGTTAATTGTGTTTTTTTTAGAAAGGAATTGGATAATTATCAGAATAGAAAACAATTTTACAGGCCTGGGGTGAAACATCAGGGGCGGTGGATCTAGCTGAGTATCACTTACAGAGAGCTGGCATGTATGTACACACAGGCAGAATGGCTTCCTTCCAGACTGTAACTATTCTAAGGTTCTTTTCCAGACAGATTTATGTAAACAAATGGATTCCAATGGAATAGTCTGATAAGTTGGCTCAGTGGACTCACCGAGTCATCCAGCACAAAACTGTTGTTACATACTCATTGCTCAATATGACAGATGGTCCTGCTCTTTGATACAAACAGTATTTGCCTGCAGCGATGCCACAGGTTTTGTGACCATATGTGCAGTATGTGCAGGCGTGGTAGCAGCAAACATAGCTTTTTAAAATCTGCACCAAGTGTTGACAAGTATAAAGAAATCCTAACTTAGTAACTTGGAAAACAAATCAACACATTTTGTAGAGATAGTAAGAACTGCCGATGCTGGAGTCTGAGATAACACAGTCTGGAGCTGGAGGAACACAGCAGGCTTCTTCAGAAGAAGGGTCCTGACCCGAAACGTCAGCTTTCCTGCTCCTCTGATGCTGCCTGGCCTGCTGTGTTCCTCCAGCTCCTCGCTTTGTTAACACATTTTGTAGTTTGGAGAGAATGATATTGAAGACTCATGGGTTAATTTTTCCCTCCCATTGGATGTCGCTGGTAGGGACAGCCCAGGTATTAGTGTTTAATCTAGGAAACATGTCTTCTGAAATGAATGGGACATGATCTCTTTAAGATATTGTGGGAAAAAGATGCATCTGTTTAATGCTATACAAGTTTTCATTAATTTCCTGGGGTCAGCAATGCCGCTTGTTGTGACCCAAATGCTGCTTTTCATCACTAGAAGCCGTGCTGTTTGAACGAATCTCTCCCACTCAGAGTTTGGCTCAGGTATTGATAGTTGAGCTGGAAAGGCCAGAAAAACTCCTTTTCCTTATGAGGACCTGGGCTCGGGTTTGAGATTTGCCTGTTTGATAATCTTCCCACTTTGCACAAAGCTCAACAAATTGGACTCTGTGAGTGAATTAAAACCTGAAATTCAGCCAGAGGCTACCGGCCTGTGACTTCTAAGAGCCACAGCGAAAATGATCGAGTGCTGAAGCTCGTGTAGTACTTCATGTGATACTAGATGTTCCAAAAAGAAGAATTCAAACATCTTTGTTAAACATTTAGCATTAAAACAGTGTGGTTGGCTAATTAGTAGGAGGGACTCATCTTGGGCAGTGGCTGCAATGGATCCGTGTATCTGGTATCGCATAGAATGGTTAATTTATCAGACACTGCTCAGTTCATGCTCTTGTCCAAGAAAAATTTCTAGCCCATCGTCTATTTTATGTTTACCATCTATGCAAAAGTGATAAGTTAGCTTCTAAGTGTGCAGCAGGTTTTATTTAGAAGTGCTTTATTTAAAAATGACTACTGGATCTTTCAGCTTCAGACTCCAGATATTTCCACAGCTTTGTTTATTTTACTCCGAGTCCCTACCCAGCTTTAGCATTGAGCACAGTGAGCATCAGCTGTAAACAAACTGACACATTCGAACGCAGAACAATTCAACACTGCAGTGTTTGTCAATGTTATAACATCTATCCGACACTCCTGGTTTTATATGTGTTTATGGGATCATTTGTTATGTGTCACAATGGCAGGGTTGGGGGTGGTGCTCTCACAGCAAAGCATATATGATTGTACCAGAAAGACTAGTTGACCTCATACCAGGGACCACAAACACCTGAGAATGTTCTGGGAGATTTGTGAAGTCATATTAAAGTGCTAAGAGGGAAGGGCCAGCTTTGAGGGTGTGTGACCATTACACTGTTCTATTGTTTGGTGTTTGATTGTGTGTGTCTGTTGACTCTTCTATGTTCTGTGTGCTATTAGTAAAGCCTGGGTGTGGGTTACAGGGAAATAGAAACTAAAACAATCATGATAAAGCAAATATTTTTAAAGCACGTAAATAAGTTTCCTGTTTAGACATAAAAAAACTGCTGTGTCATCTCTGCGTATCTCAAGGTATTAAACATAACAAGTGTAATTTGCTCATTAATGGAGTGAAGAGAGAGAGGAGATGTGGTGACCAAGGAAGAGGCAGTGAAAGTCAAAGGATGTAATTTAATTAGCAAATGCGCTATGTAATTGCATAAATGGCCTGTTTCTGTGTGTAGTCCTGCCATTGGTAAAACTGATCTGTTCATCCTGAAATGTTCTGCCTTTTGCAATGGAATTTGGGGTCAGGGCTGTGGTATGACTAAAGGTGACTTCTTGAGGGATCCACATATCTCCACTGAGAGTTGCAGGTATTAAGGGCAGAATTTTCACTCTATGTTAGAGTGGAGCTCCTAGACAATTCCTGCCTCTGGAGACCTGATCCAGGAAACAATGCTTTGCAAGTTTGAATTTTGGTTCTAGGGAGGGGACTGGGTTTTATGGGAGACATGGCTACCACCCCTGAAAAGAGTTGAGAGGCCACCAGCTGTGGAGGTGGGCCATGTAAAAGGCAGATGCAGTGGTCCAACACTTAAACTAAATCACAAAACAAACCATCAACCATCATCCATTGCACGCCCTATTCACTCTCGTCCATGCTAACCCATGGCATCGCATGCATACCCAATCTCCATGACCCTTCATGCCAACCTATGTATCACACATCCAACATGGCCTTTATAACCCCTATGTCAATTTAGTACCGATGGCTCCATCAAACCCATACGGTCTCTTTAGAGCTCCTAGGCCATATCATGCCAACCCATTGACTTGCACCTCCATATCAATTCAGCAATTAACTACGTTGGGACCCAATCTGAGAATAAATTAATTTTCGCAACAGTAATCTTGTAGGGATAACTCTCAGGTGTACATCAATTGACAGAATCAATACAAGCACTGACTTTTTTTTCAATACTGCAGAAAGTTTTTTTTCAAATATTTAAAGGACAGGAGATTTAAATGCCTTGACAGATCCCTTTGACAGTAACAATGTGCTTTACAGTGACAATGAGTTTACCTATTTGTTAGCCATAATAATGTCTATTTTTAACAACCCATAAGGGAAATTACATTTCCGAAAGGGGGCCTCATCTCTGTCAAAGGGCACTTGACCTCTCCTAAATTTGCCATATGACCATATTCAAAGTGGTATCTTCCTTCTCAAAAGAACTCCACTAAGTTGAGACTATGCTCTACCAGTTCTAAACAAGCCACTGGTGAAAATCAGATCAGCTTCATAGGGGAAGAAAACATTGATAATGTTTGATTGGTAAATCACTTGGCTTTAACACTGCTTACCTGTTCTAAATCCACATCATCATCATTTTCATCACTTGACATGTCTTCATTAACATAGACAGCTGCTGCATCAGAAACCTAGAGAATAAACAATGGGAATAACTTTTAAATTATCTAAGTGAAATGTTAAGACTAATCATTTAGTTAAAATAAAACAAAGCGCTGCCAATACTGAAGATCTGAAACAAAAATAGAAATTGGTGGAGAAACTCAGCTGATCTGGTGGCACTTGTGGAGAGAAAGCAGAGTTAACATTTTAAGCCCAGTCACCCTTATCAGAACTATTAACCATTTAGTTAAAGCAGCTACACCAGCAGTCAGCAGATTAGCTGGGCTATATTGTATAATGACTCTGCTTGACACTATACTGTATTATTTTTTCCTTTATTCTTTGATCAAATGTGTGTGTCCTTGCCCATCCTAACTACTCTTGAACTGAGTCACTTGCTTGGCCATTTCAGAGAGCAGATAGGAGTCATTCATATTATCGTTGGTCTGGAGTCACATGTAGACTAGACCAGGTAGTTATCCTTTCCTAAGGGGAATTAGTGAACCAATTGGGTTTTTCCTGACAATAAGCTAGCCTTATAGTTCAGGGCTTTATTAACTGAGTTTAATTTTTTAATCAGTTGCCACAGGGGATTTGAACCCATTCCCTTAAAGCATTATCCTTGGCCTTCTCAATTACTACTTCATTGATGTTAACATGACGTCACCGTTTCCCCTACAATAATTCTAGTGATTGTAACAAGGTCAGCCAGGTAGACCTCATAGAATATGAGACAACAAGGTGCAGGGCTGGATGAACACAGCAGGCCAAGCAGCATCATAGGAGCAGAGAGGCTGACGTTTCGGGCCTAGACCCTTCATCAGAAAAGGGGGAGGGGAAGGGGGTTTTGAAATAAATAGGGAGAGAGTGGGAGGCGGATAGAAGAGGGATAGAGGAGAGGATAGGTGGAGAGGAAACAAACAGGTCGAAGAGGCGGGGATGGAGCCAGTAAAGGTGAGTGTAGGTAGGGAGTTAGGAAGGGGATAGGTCAGTCCAAGGAGGACGGACAGGTCAAGGGGGCGGGATGAGGTTGGTCGGTAGGAGATGGAGGTGTGGCTTGAGGTGGGAGGAGGGGATAGGTGGGAGGAAGAACAGGTTAGGGAGGCAGGGACGAGCTGGACTGGTTTTGGGATGCGGTAGGGGGAGGGGAGATTTTGAAACTTGTGAAATCCACATTGATACCATTGGGCTGCAGGGTTCCCAAGCGGAATATGAGTTGCTGTTCCTGCAACCTTCGGGTGGCATCGTTGTGGCACTGCAGGAGGCCCAGGATGGACATGTCGTCTGAGGAATGGGAGGGGGAGTTGAAATGGTTCGCGACTGGGAGGTGCAGTTGTTTGTTGCGAACCGAGCGTAGGTGTTCTGCAAAGCGGTCCCCGAGTCTCTGCTTGGTTTCCCCGATGTAGAGGAAGCCACACCGGGTACAGCGGATGCAGTATACCACATTGGCAGATGTGCAGGTGAACATCTGCTTGATGTGGAAAGTCTTCTTGGGGCCTGGGATGGGGACGAGGGTGGAGGTATGGGGGCAGGTGTAGCACTTCCTGCGGTTGCAGGGAAAAGTGCCGGGTGTGGTGGAGCTGGAGGGGAGTGTGGAGCGGACAAGGGAGTCACGGAGAGAGTTGTCCCTCCGGAAAGCAGATAAAGGTGGGGAGGGAAAGATGTCTTTGGTGGTGGGGTCGGATTGCAGATGGCGGAAGTGTCGGAGGATGATGCGTTGGATCCGGAGGTTGGTGGGGTGGTACGTGAGGACAAGGGGGATTCTTTTTTGGTTCTTATTGCGTGGACGGGGTGTGAGGGATGAGGTGCGGGAGATGTGGGAGACACGGTTGAGGGCGTTCTCGACCACCGAGGAGGGGAAGTTACGGTCCTTGAAAAACGAGGACAACTGAGATGTACGGGAGTGGAATGCCTCATCCTGGGAGCAGATGCGGCGGAGGCAAAGGAATTGGGAATAGGGGATAGCATTTTTGCAGGAAGGTGGGTGGGAGGAGGAGTATTCTAGGTAGCTGTGGGAGTCGGTGGGCTTGAAATGAATATCGGTTTCTAGGTGGTTGCCCGATATGGAGACAGAGAGGTCCAGGAAGGGGAGAGAGGTGTTAGAGATGGTCCAGGTAAACTTAAGGTTGGGGTGGAAGGTGTTAGTGAAGTGTATGAACTGTTCGAGCTCCTCGTGGGAGCACGAGGCGGCGCCGATACAGTCATCAATGTAACGGAGGAAGAGGTGGGGTTTAGGGCTGGTGTAGGTACGGAAGAGGGATTGTTCCACGTAACCTACAAAGAGGCAGGCGTAGCTTGGGCCCATGCGGGTACCCATGGCTACCCCCTTTGTCTGTAGGAAGTGGGAGGAATTGAAAGAGAAGTTGTTGAGTGTGAGGACGAGTTCGGCTAAGCGGATGAGGGTATCAGTGGAGGGGGACTGGTCGGGCCTGCGGGACAGGAAGAAGCGGAGGGCCTTAAGGCCATCTGCATGGGGAATGCAGGTGTAGAGGGACTGGACGTCCATGGTAAAGATGAGGTGTTGGGGACCGGGGAATTGGAAGTTCTGGAGGAGGTGGAGGGCGTGGGTGGTGTCACGGACATAGAATATGAGTTCCCTGACTAGGGCTGTTAATCTGCTTCAATCAGGGAGCCTTGGCTGACAGATAAAAACAGAAGAGTCAGTGGCTCTGCTCACTTGGAGAGCTGGCTCTGAGGAAGCCAGACCAGTGTCAAGTATAATGCCCATGTAAATAAAGGGTGGTTTGGTGAATGGATACTGGCCTCTGTGGAGTTATTTCAAAAACATAGCTGTTTTGGAATAATTTCCAATTGTCTCGTAGCAGACAGATGACGGCCTGGTGATCACTGCAGAAGTTGCACTCACAAATAGACCATTTAAAGGCAGGAATAGGCCATTTGGCCCCTCTAGTCAGCTCATCATTCAATAAAAACATGACTGACCTGAATGTGGCCACAATTCTACATTCCTGTGAAATGCTTTGGTTGCCATTCTAATAGTGCCATACAGATGCAAATTGTTGTGTTGCTGACTTGCGTTTTTGACCGTGAGAGCTGCCACAATCAGTCTGCTTTTTTAGACTAGGAACAGGACCAATGTGAAGGCACTATTTGGCAGAGCCCTTGTATCCTAATTCAATGACTACATTCAGAATATTACATTCATTCTATCAAACATACTACAATCACCTTCATAAAGTACTCCGACCTACATTTACCCTCCCCAAGACTGTGTTTTCTTTTGTTTTTTATATAGTTTAACCTTGACACTACAATCTGGCAAATATCACTTCAATTCCCAGATAAAAGGCTGATACTGCTCAGAGTCGCTGGGTCAGAAGTGAGGTATAAATTATCAGAAATGTAGGAGTGTACACAATATAGCTCTTCAAACATCAAACAGAAGGAGCAACATTCCAGGAAGACAAGGCGTTATTTTGTGATGAATTACAGTGACCCATTATTTATCCTATCATTTGAAAGGCAGCCTCTGCAATTTCAGACGATAAACTAGGACTATTTTCACTGGATGTCAAAGATCACAAAGTATTTTTGTAAAGAAAAGCAGGTGAAATCTTCTGGCCAAAGTTCCTCTCACTACCCTCCCCCCACATCCCTCAATCCCTTTAGCCATAAGAACTATATCTGATGCTGAAAAGAATTTCTAAACTTGATTTGAGTGAACTGGAACAGTCAGGTGCCTGAATGTACACAGCTGTCAGGTTTCTCACAAGGCCATATGAAATATATATTTTTCCTCGTCTTAGAATAGACTTTTAATGGTCCGTGATAATGCTTGGATGTCATTTTGACTGCATTGCATCATTCATTACTGTCAATGCTGCTGGCCCTCTGAGGTGTTACTAGCTCTCTTCAGCAAAATACTAGCAATTTCCAATATGGCGGCTGCCTGCCTTCCTCACTGGTGCCCAGGTGGAATCACACGCCTCTTGCATGCACTTGATTTTGATAATTCAGTGTCAACTTTGGCCTCTGGCCAGTTAGGCCATCTGGTTCCTTGTAACAAGATCAATTTAAAACCTGGAATATTTGAATATTGGGATCCCAACCACTCTTTTGAAAATATGGTTCCCAATACCTTTCTCTCAAAACAGTGCAATACTGACTAATGGGGAATCGACACAATTGCATTTGGGCTAAACAAACTGGATTTTGTTATTCTGTCTTTTCATCATTAAGTGGTTAAGTTTAGAAGCGTAAGTTGGGGCTGCTCTGTCACCTTTGACTGCTTTCTCTTTAAAGAAAGATGCTATCTTACAATCTTGCCATTGTAACGTTCAACACATTTATGAATTAGCGTTCTGGTGTGTAGGGGCTTTAGGATCCTGGAGAAACCTTGTGATGCTGCATATCACCAAGCATTGAAGCACAAGGTAGGCAGAGGTAGAATACATTATGCTAGTCACTGCTCTAGATGACAGAACAATCTAGAATGAGAGAGAGTCTTAAGAGCACATGGACATGATTACATGATGAAGATAGATTCGCCCTTACCAAATATAACTATAAGATCTGAGCCTGGTCTACCTATGATTACTGTGTCCAGCCATATTTACTATGAACATACTATAGTGTTGCTTTGAAGTCTAAACCTGAACAGTTCTTGACTGCCTTCTCCTGGATCAGACCGCCTTGAACACAAATTCATAGTACGGTTGATAACTGAACTGCCACCTCCCCTACTGATGCTGGAAGTTGAATTATGTCTTATTAATTATTCATTGTACAAATCACCTCTTCCTGACCACAGTTCTAAATTTGTTGCTAACAAGTTGCTGTTACAGGTAGTTCCCCTATAACACGATAGTTGCATTCTTGTGCGACCTTGTGCTATACAAAGTCTCTATACTATACAGTAGAAAGTTTGCATTATCCAAACAGCATCCAGTATTCATCAATCACATTAAAGCCAATTTGCATTAACAAAACATGTGTTATAGCAGAACTACCTGTACACTAGCGTTTCCTATCAGTTTGATTTTTCCTGAAGAAATGTAGTGCCTTCCTGTATAGTTAACATCACAGTTGCTGAAATAACTCCACAGAGGCCGATATCCTGTCACCAAGTCACCCTTTGTTTACACGTGGAGAGTCCTTAACGCTGATCCAACTTCCTCAGAGCCAGCTATCAGAGTGAACAGGATATCTGACACAGCTGAATTCAGCTTGAAGCTATGGGTAGTGGTGCTTTGTTATCTTTAAGTAGACCTAGCACAGGTTTGTGGTACATTATTAATACAAGTTTACATCCAAAAAGTTATTGGTGGAGCTTGCTGAGTCCAAATATGACTGCCAAACTTTCCTTCTTTATCTGGGTATATTTACGCTCTGCATTAGCCAAAGTCCTGGATACATAGTCTATTGGGTTTCCTTTCCCCAGGCCACCTATGAGCTACTAATTTCCTGATGCCGGCAGGGATAATGACTTTGGAGTGTGACTTTGGCCAGGGCGCTGTTCAGTTTCAACAGAACCTATCCTAACTGATCTGTATTAACTTGCTGGTACATCAGCCTGATGCTGCTCCATATGTTAATTATCAAGTTTACCAACACCTTCAAGTCTCTTACTGTTCGCTGCTACTATACTGCCAAAAGAGTATGTAGGTTATCTGAGTTATTTTTAACACTGTTCAGCACCTTTTGTACATATCTTGTGTTAAAATTGTTCTGCCCATTTATTCATTTTATCTAACTCCATTTGTAGGTCCCTGCCTCCCTCACTTGATTTGAACTTAATTTGCTCCCTCCCCACCCTTGTGTGCCGTCATCTAGAAATGCTTTACCACTTTACATTGAGTGGTTGAGTTCAGGTTGTTGATGTAATCAAAGGGCTAGATTTCAAACCACCTACCACTTGTAATGTTTACTCTGCACTGTCACACTGTGTGAGGTACACAGCTGTATAATATTTGTTCAGTGTCATTAGGTGAGATAACTTCAATGACTTTGAGTAGCTGTACACTCCAGAATAATGTGTCGAAATGTCAAATTCCATTTACACCACAATAAAGTTTATTGATTCCCCTTGGAGTCTGATGCTATTAATTCCAGACAGTACTCAATGAGTTGAATTTTTAGGTTAGGACTCCTATTTAATGTGCTTGTTCAATGTACATTGTTATATTTTAATTAAAAAGCAAACACATTTTCAGCAGATTTCTAACACTTGTTGTTCTAAATTAGTTTTAGAGTTATTTGGTCGATTTAAGTAAACATTGTTTCTTGTGGATTTCTGTTCCTCTTACTTTCTTCCATCAGCTTGGAAGTGCAGATCATTGACATGGGATTAGGCCATACAGACCCTCGAGTATGGGCTAGTATTAAATCAGATCTTTACCTCAACCTAATTTAATCATTTCCACCTGGCATTTGGACAACATTTGCTGCATAATTCTGAAGAATTTTTTTTTCCTGAAGAAATGTAGTGCCTTTCTGTACAGTTCTGAAGGATTATGCGGGTATAAATTAGGATTATCAGTCGGGCTGGCACACCTGGCATACTGGCATACTTGCATGTGATGGAAGCTACATATCTAATGTGCAGGGCCCTGGGGGTTCTTTGAAGATGGAAAAAATAAAAAAAAAGAAGATTGTGGCTGCTTAAACACAAAAACAAAGAGAGTGACAGCCATTATCTGGTTTATTCCTCAGGTCAATGTTTTAGCTAATCATAGTCAACTTGTCTTTCTTAAAATTTAAACAAAGCTCAGCAGTTAATTGTCAGCCCTTATTAACTGGTGCATTTCCCAATATCTTTACCAATCAGACTCGACTTGCCAAGCAAGCAGTACTCTCCTGTCATAGAGCACAAATGTTATTTTCCATTCACTTTGGCAAATGGACAATTTCTTGCCAATTGTCTTGATGAGTGCAAGATTAAAAGCTTCAACAAATGTGCTATTTTTCAGTGATGCTCAAATTACAATATTCTTAGTTCTGTGTTTCCAGGTGCTAAACCTTGCTTAAAATAAATGCTTTAAAAAGTAAAATTACTAAGGAAAACAATTGGAATTGTTTGACATTGATAAGTGATAACACTTGTTGAATTGAAGGCAGTAATCTTAACTAGGTAGGAAGCCTCATGGTGCAGTGGTAGTGTCCCTAACTCTGGACCAGAAGCTCCTTGCTCAGGCTACCCTACCGGCACTAGTTGCCCTTGGAAAGTCTGCTCAGAACGTGGCCAAACAGGTTAATTTTCACCCTGTAAATCTTTCCAATGCACTTGATGGCAGCCAGTAAGAGTAGGAAAGCCTCCTGATCAGCATTCCTGCAAGAAACAATGGCAAACCACTGTGGTACTTTGTCCATAAGTGTGCACCAATGCAATGGAAGTCCATGGACCAACCCTTGGAAAAATAAGGCAGAAGAAAAGACTAGATGGACAGTTCAACAGCATGAAGAACATCAGTGGAATCCACTAAATGTATGACTCGCTGGGGTGAATTAGTTATGTTTTGTTATGAATAACTGTTCTAACGAGGCACAAGATGCAAAGCATTCTTTCAAATTTTAAGTACATAAGGATTCTTAAAAGAAAATTCCTTACTTTCTCCTTGGCTGCATCCTGTTTGTTTTCACTCATTTTAGCCAACGTGTATAGGACAGCATCATGGACCGAGAGGAAGAGACAACTACGCTCTAGCCATCCCTCATCAAACATTCCACCAGACTCGATGTCCTCATACACCTGATCTTTTGTACAAGAATAAGAGAAATGCACTTAGAAATGGACATAATGACAATTTTTGAAAGCAGTAATGAGAATTGCTCTTTAAAGGTCTCGTGCCTTGAGAAAACCTACTTCTGTTTCTGTCTTTTCCTTCTTAATGCACTCTTGTAGCATTTTTGTGATACTGTTCTCTTTTCAGTGGCAGGCACCACTCCACGAATAATCAACAAGGTCACCAGGCCAAGTAATGTTAACTGGGCAAGGAGTTGATGAGAAGTATTTCTATCAGATCTTGGCTATGGACATGCAGGATGATTTCCTGAAATCTGATTCTGAATCTGGACTATCAATTGGATCTATTTAAGGGAGACAGTTCACAGAGCTATGGAGATAGCGCAGGGTCATAGGAATAATTAGACCTGGGACAGGCATGATTGGAGGAATGGCCTCATTCTGTACAGAATCTATGTTGCTGGCTCAGTTGTGATGGAGAGGAACCGAGCTAAATTCATGTTTAAATTGTGAATTCTTCAATTCAGTTGATTTGAATTTTGAAGAATGGTCAAGTTTAACTTCTTCTGCAGGAAAATAGATTGCGTTTAGATAAATTAACTTGAACACAGATAAATATTCCCAGAACAGTCATCAGAGAGGTAGGTAGGCCTAAGTTCACAGAGTGGTAAAATTATAGGGTATTGTGGCTCTTATCTAGTCAACTTCTTTTGCTACTGTTCTTCCTTTGCCTGTACAGGGGAGAACCTGGAACCAAGAGATCCATTTTACACCAGCGCGAATATGACAGAATGAAATTTTAATGAAGAGCATTGTATACATAATTCTGTTCCTTTCTGTGCTCCTTACTGCCATGTTGCTTTCTGAGATTATATCCATTGATTTTAAAAAATGCCACTTCTCAATGAATGAGGTCAGATATAAACTTTCTGGTTGCTTCAACAGTTACTGATTTCACTGTTCAGCCCATTAGATCAGAAGAATTCAGTTCATTATGGCAGGATGCTGTGCTGGCTTTACAGATTAAAAGATCTTTCACTGAAAGATTGAACAGACTGTGATTACTCTCTTACTGATGAAAAGAAGATTGACCCGATAATTTTAGGAAGGATAGATGTAGGGTCAATGTTTCAAACTTGGAGAGGAGATGAGAGCTCAGTGAGTCATAAATATAAAATAGTCACTAATAAATCTGATATGGAAATCAGTAGAAACCTCTTCATATGGAGTATGGCTAGAATATGGAATCACTGTCACAAGGATTAGTTGAGGAGAATAGCAGTGATACATTTAAGCTGCAGCTAGATAAACGTAAGTGGTGATGTTGTGGTAATGTTGCTGGCTTAATAATCCAGTTAATCCATACTATTACTTTGCAGACAGGGGTTCAGGTCTGACCACGGCTTTTGTTGCAATTTAATTCAATTGACTAAAAGCTAGCCTAATGATTACCATTGTCATGAGAACCCATTTATTTCAGTAATGGTCCTTTAAGGAAGGAAATCTGTGTCATTTCCTGGTCTGTCCTACATGGGCCTTCAGGTCTACAGCATTATGGTTGACTTTTAACTACCTTAGCAGATTATGGAGCTATTAGGGATGGGTAATAATTATTTTACCATCCATATTTAAATAATATAAATTATAAATAAAACATAGGTCTTGCTGCGGTCAAAGGCTTAATCAATGTGCAGTAGTAAATTATTCCTGAAGAATGCCCTGATAAAGAGGAGCTATTGCTATTAAAAAGAAAAAATTTAAACTGAAACCCATTAACGTGTCATAAATCCATTAGCCTGAGAGATCAAAAGCCTTGCTGCTGAATAAACTAATAATCATACGACTGGGTTCTGAACTGATGATTGGCCCATGATTAAATTTCACACATAATTCAGTACACAGCATCTTTCTTTAAAAAAAGTCACTATTTCCTGATGTCCACCCTGTCACTTTTGTAGAATTGACCTGATGTACTCCAGACTGCCAGTGGCAAAGACAAAATTAGAGATCTCTCTTGCAAGCTCGGATGAATGTTAGTATTAGAACAGATTGCTATTTTTGTCGTCTGCCTGTTAATGTTTGTGTCTTCTGTTTATTTGTTGTCAGGATATGCATGGTGTTGGCACGTGACATTTATTACCCATCCTTGCACTACTAGTGAGACCTTTCCTTGAATTGCACTTGGTTTTGTATTAGCAGTCAGCTGTATAACATCACACATGAGTGGCCAGTTCCCTTGGCCAAGAACACCTGTGAAGAAGTTAGGGTTTCTTGACAATCTATAGCATTCATTCCTTGTAATTTTTTGTTTATCGGTGCAAGCTCTGACAGATGATTGCGTTTGGAGGATTTAGTTTCACACATTCATGTTTCAATTTATGAGTTTCTAGACCTATATCACAACCAGTATGCCATCAAACAAAAACATGGCCACAACTGCCCACAGAGCAGGTTACTGAACTTAACTATGTTGGATGGAGAGACCTGCTGCTTCTCCACAGTGAAGAATTGAAACATTTGGGACCTTCCACTTCTACGATGTGGTTTCTGCTGTTGATTAGCTGTGACAAAGTCCTGCCTTCAAACCTCAATAAATGTTGTTAGTCCAGCTGACCAGCAAGTACAAAACATCATCCTTTTTGTTTTCTTTCCTTCCTCATGGAGAGGTGGTTGGCTTCTGAAAAAATAGCCAAGGTCAGGAGCTCGTTGTGAAGGGAATGGTGATTCTGAATCCACATTCTATCACCCCACTGAACAGAATTTTGATACTTCAACATGTTCTAATTGTATTTATTATTGTGCCTGGATACCTCCCTGCTGAATGTATACCCATTACACAAAGCTCTCTCCAATTCAGAAAATGTTGGAAATGTTCAACTGGTCTGGCAGCATCTTTCATTGTCTTACAATGTTAACTCCCTTTCACCCTCCACAGATGCTGCCAATCTTGTTGAATGTTCCCAGCGTTTACTATCGTTATTTCAAATTTCCAGCAGTTTTTTGCTTCTAGCTTGTACAATTCAGCACTGATAGGTATCAAATAGACTTAACAGAGGCTACAGACTATTGTGGGAATTGGAAATTATTACACATTTGCAGATGAGGGTGCTGTACTGAGCTCGGGTTTGTTCATACTGTCAGACAAGAATAGAAGGGACATCTAACCTCAGCTATGAGCAGTTGGTAACTATACTGGAAGCTCAGAATGAAAATGTAATATTCCCCATGATATGGACTTCCTCACCTGGATGGCTGCAAACCAAATCTGCAAAGATGCTAACCAGGGCTACATCCTTATTGACAATTTAACAAATGACATTTCAGATATAGATGGTCTTACCTCGTATACCAGCCAGGTAAATTGTTACACCAATCTTCTTGTAATTTGAACACATCTGTGCAATGAAAAGAAAGTTCCAAAAATAAGAAGAAGGAATTCTGCACAAAGTTAGCAAACAGTCTAATATGGAAAGAGTAAAATGAAATGACTTCATTTTGCCATCCAGCTTCATTTTCATTTTATATCATCATTTTATATTCTCTCCTCCACCAATTCCAAAATAAAAACATTAATGTATCAGTCAACATTCCTCTTTGCTGAAACTTGCTATGCATAAATTGGCTGCTGTACTTGCCTAAAAAGCATCAGTCACTCGATATTAAAATAATTTATTGTATTTGTACTAATTTGTATTTGTTACAATTAATTTGTAATTGTATTTTGATGTGATAAAGGACACGATGAATGATCATACATTCTGCTTACTTATTACATTCAAAATTCTAAACTTTTGAAATGTGTGGTTTCGAAGAACTCAGTTCATAAATTGAAACGCCTTTTAGGGTGTTTTTAATTGGCAGGGGATCATAAGAACATACAAAATATGATTAACAATGTGAAAATCTTCTAAGAGAAAAGAGGCTTTATTATTAAACATTATCTTTGGTCAATAATCGCTTGTGAAAGATGTTACAAGCAATACAACAGGAGACGTTTTTCACTGAACCAACTGTGGGGGAGATTGTGGTATAGTGGTACTGTCATTGGATGACTAGCCTAAATGTACTAATGACCTAGGAACAGGGGTTCAAATCTCACCATGTTATGTGGCAAAACTTCTATACAAATTTGGAGTTGAATGGTGACTTGTCTTTTGTCATTAAATCCCATCTGGTTCAATAATATCCTTTAGGGAAGGGAATTTGTCATCTTTACTAGGTCTGGCCTACATGCAACTCCAGACTGTCCTTTGGGCCACTAGGGATGGGCAATAAATGTTGACATTCGATGAATGAAACAAAAGAGTTATTGTCCTCGACCCTTTTGCTGATATTTCCTATATTTCCTTCATATGTTTGGCCTATATTTTCAACAGCCACTTCCTGCCCTGACTGCCCCTATATTGGAGGCAAATGTAGCCACCCCCAATCTGAAAGGCAGCTGCCCTGTTAGGAAAGCAGATCTGGTTCTACCTGCTCAGAAGGCAGGTCATTAGCTCTGTGGTGATTTGAGTCATCCATGGACCTTCTCATCCTGAACTCAATTATTGAGGTGGCAGGAAGTGAGCGAGTTGGCTTCTCTGGCCGTAAGATGCTGGAGTACAAGTAGCACATTCAGCCTATTGAGCTTGTTCCACCTTCAATGAGATGATCTGATTTTCCTCAACTCTACTTCCCTGCCTTTTCTTATAACCCTTGATTCCCTTACTGATTAAAAATCTTTCTCAGCCTTGAATATACTTAATGACCCAGCCTTGATAGCCTTCTGTGGTAAAGAATTCCACAGATTCATGCACTCCGAGAAAAGATGTTCCTCCTCATTTCTGTCTTAAATGTGTGACCCTTATTCTGAGATTATGCCATCTGGTCCTAGACTTTCCCACAAGGGGAAACAACCTTTTTGCATTTATCATGTTGCGTTTCCTAAGAATCTTGTACGTTTCAAAAGATTGCCTCTCATTCTTCGAAATTCCAATGAGTATAGGACCAACCAGCTCAATCTCTCCTTATAAGATAGTTCTCCCATAATTGGTATCAGCCTAGACTGTCTCCAGTATATTGTTTCTCAGATTAGGGGCACAAAACTGTTCACAGCATTCCAGCTGTAGCCTAACTGTTGCCTTGTATAGTTTTAGCAAAACCTCCCAACCTTTATACTTCATTCCTCTTGAAATAAAGGCCAACATTTCACTTAATTTCCCCCTTACCTGCTGAACTAATCTTCTGAGAGAACTTTCTCCCTCATCTCAGCCCTAAATGACCACCTACTTACGTCAGTCAAGATTAAGACTTCTAGTTCTAGGCTTTACGGTCAGGAGAAAAAACCTCTCAATGTCAACCACATGGATCACTTTGAAATATTTGTACCTTTCAGCGACACCATGAGATTAAAGGGGTTGCTCCAAGAATTTTACCCCCTATCATGCCTCCTATGCAACTCCTGCTCATTGTCTGAGCTCCACTGAGACTATAATGTGGCAAGTAATTGGGAGGCAATCACCTTTGACCTGAAGGCAAGATGGCTGCACTCTTAGCTGAAGAACCTTTATTTAAGTTTTGTCTTCAATTCATAAGGGGCCTTTGGGTGCTGAAAGCAAAGTGGCTGTGAACACTTTTCTTTCTAAGTCAATAGAAACAAGGGTTGTGCCCCTTGTATTCCATCTGCTCTAGCTTTGCAAATCACTCCATCTTGTGAGTAGATTATAAAGTTGGGAGATTTTATTCTTGCAGTAATGGAGCAGATACCTACAAATCTCAGTGCATTAGTATTATCGTGCTGGTGCATATAGTGCAATACAATTGCTAACAACATGGAATCAGGGACATAGATGCATCTGTTATATTATAACCATGATTCCCTAAGCTATCGCAGAAATAGCCCTCATATTTAATCCTCAGTTGTCTCTAAGAATGGTTACTTTTGGAGATTAAGATTTTTTCGTTTAGTTTGGTTCTTCTCTTTTCCTTTCATTCTCACTAACTCTATCCTAGCTTGTTGTTTGATGCCCTATTTTCATTATTCTCCTTGATAGTTTGTCTGTAAAACATAAAGATTCTGGCAGACATGGAAGAACAGTGATATAATCGTACATTTTTGGAATTTCAATTAGTGAAAGTAATATGTACCTTTCCTAATACTTTAATTCCCATAAGGTCCACAAAACAGACTCCACTCATATCCAAGATAAGAGTATGAATGTCAATTATGGGGTGTGCAAGTTTAATGGGGTCTTCAACGTTTTCCGGATCTGCTGGGGATTTTGGTGTTCCCTCATGTAACCCATTGGGAGTGTTGACTGTGATGTAGGATATTCTGGGAGCTTCATCCACTGAGTTATTATTACAGTCCATAGATGTTTCAGCTTCCACCTCTTTCACCAGCTCCTGTAGAGATACTTGCTGTACAAAGACAAAGAAGGAAGAATCTATTGAGATTAAAGAAAAGCAGAAAATGCTGGCACCACATAACTGGCCAATCAGCAACTGTGGAAGGAACAGACCAGCAAACATTTCAAGCTTTCAATAGAACTGAATAAGTGAAAGACAAACAAATGCATTAATAGAACTGGACAGAGGACAAGAAAGGTAAAAAGATGTATCAGTAGAATGGATGGCTTGCACATTTCCTCATCCCAACTCTTTCAGGCCCCCTCCTAGGTCTTGATGCCATTCTTAAAGTATAGTTTTCAGAAGTGGATGCAATACTTCACCTGAGGTCAATGAGAGATTTATAGAGGTTTGCTTTAACTTCCATGCTTTAGTAATGGTCATTATCCTGAAGCAAGAGCAGGAATTGACAGAAACTCAGCAAATCAAGTAGGGATCCAAGAAGAGAGTTATGATTGAGGTTGGTGTGCTTGTAATGTCAGATCTTGGATTAGTTGGAGGGTGCTAAACCAGTCCTGAACTAGGTCTGGGCAGCATGCTATATTAACTTCTGACCCCCATCAATCCCCAAACACATCTTCCCCACTCATTGCCTGGACCTAGTGAAAGTGGGCTGTTGCAGTCAGAGGCATTCATGCCAAATACACAGTTGCCAGGCATTCAGGTAAGTGGTTGGGAGAGGATACAGGAAAGGGGAAGCCCAGGGCAGGGAGTCTCTCACTGAATTACATTCTGACTAAGGATCCATCTGTGAGAAATGAACAAGTCACCATTTCTGTGCAGAGAGACCACCCAACATCACTCTGCACTCCTCCCATTTCTGAGAATAAATTTTAAAACTTCAACAACTTCAAATCACATGCTCCCTCTGTTGAGGTGAGAATAGGTCTGCCGCGCATTTGTCCCATTTGTGGTTAACTTTTGTTTTAAAATGGGAAAGGTTAGTGTTGCTGGCATTTGCAGAGATCTGAACATTTATCGAATTTTGCAATCCTGTGGTCTATTGGTGCCATCATATCAACTCATACCTTGGTGCAGAGATTACTTGGTCTCCTGGTGTCTATTTCCCGCTCCTCGTTTTTGACAGCTTTGAGATACTTCTTCTTGGCTAACAAAACCTTCACTGGATCAAATCCCGACTATAAAAAAGAAAGAAACATCTAGCTTGGCAAGAAGATACATCCTGTGCTTCATTACAGAGCTCATGTTGTTAATGCTTACTATTTCTTGGAGACACATGTATACAGACATACAACCACACACCCATGCACGCACACATGCACCCCAAGGCCACACACACATGCAGACACACACATGCTCACACACAAATCTTTAGGACAGACTGTCTGTTCAATCCAAAGGAATATAATCAGTTTTGCTCTGCAAGTATTTGTGAATAAATGCAAATCAAACAGGATAATTGAAATCTCATCTCATAAAGTAGTACATGATTGATCAAGATTTCATTGAGACTCTAAACATGATGCACTTTTCTCTTGGAACAGGAGTACAAATCTAATAGACATTTTCTTTGAAATTGATAAATGCTTTGAAAAATGTGTTTATCCAGCCCTGCACCTTGTTGTCTCGGATTCTCCAGCATCTGCAGTTCCTACTATCTCTGATTAAATAAGAGGAGATTGTTTGCAGTGTTTGAGGCATCGGCAACAGGAAAGTTACAGACTCGGCGTCATCACATGACCACAGAGAGAAGTTTGAAGAATTTTAACCACAGAAGATGTCACTAAATTGTATTATGAGTGGTTAATGATATTATAATGTAATTTGAGAAAGAATTGGGGGTTATTTAAAAAGTGAAAGTATAAGACTGTGTGGTGAAAGACACAGCAAATAACGGAGAGAAGAAAACTGCAGTTTGAAAAGTTAGTGTTAAATTGCATTGGGATAAATGGTTTCGTCCTGTACTTTTGATTCTATGATTGTTGAATACATTAGTTCAGGTTGTTCTGGCGTCTCAGGTAGGGAGAAGAGATCTACCATTTTAAAGGAAGAACAGGTGAGTGTCTTGACCAATATTTATCCCTCAATTTATGTCACCAAAGCAGATAACGAGGCCTTGCTGTTTGCAAATTGATTGGCACCATTCCTATACTGCAATGAATACTACACTTCAAAAGTTCTTGATTGACTGTAAAGTGCTTTGGGACACTTTGGGTTTGGGAAAGGCACCACATAATCACAAGTCATTCTTTTTCCTTGGTTGTTGTGTGTCATTCTCTGATTGTTAATAATGTCCATGAATCATGCAGTTAGTTTTATTTGCTGTTTGATAATAAACAAGGAAAAAACATTTTATCGTCACCCTAAACTTTATAACACCTTACATTACGTCATTCATGTGGTTACATCAGTTACGTTTCGAGAGTCAATAAGTCAAATTGTTTTTCAATATTTGGTGTTCAGGGAATTTTCCAAGTGTTTCAGGAATCACATTTTGCCCACTTGTTAGGTATAGTTCACAAACACTTGATAGTTCCTGTTACTGCAGGTGTCAAACTATGACTTCAAAAGTGCATGTTCAGAACAATGTGCATTTCAATAAATTCTGTAGGATATCCAGTCATAATATATAGGCAGTACCTCAAGGCAATGCCTAAAGGAGCTTAGATTCATTTCCAATTGGACTAGTGCAAAATGTGATGGTAAGGAAAGGGAGCATCACATAAGCTATATGACCAGTTCGGAATTTTGTAGTTTTGCTTTGTTCATGATTGGAGGTGCCAGAAGAAACATACAGTCCTACATACAGATCAAAGAAAATAGGAGAATCCACGAGAAGGCTAAGAACATGCAACAGATGTTAACACTTTGAGCTCAGAATCACAAACAATTTATGTGATGTTTCTGGTTCCTCTGGGCATTAGAATGCCAATGTTTCGAAGTATCAAGTTGTTGTAACTTAAATCTCTTTTACAAATTTAAGATTGAAATAAATAGAGACATTTACCTTTTTAATTACTTTTTTCCTGAAAAACTCCACATTCGCGAAATACAATGGGGAGCAGTAGGTAATGATTTTTATGCCACTGATTTCTTTTGCCTAAAAGAGGAATGCATTCATGAGTTATCAATTAAGGACAACAAATGGTTCAATGATTCATTCAACAATTTATTAATGATAAATTATATGTAAACTAAAAGATTAGAAATATCATATACATGTGAAGATAAATAATATTGCTGTACAAGTAGATTACCCCTAAAAACAACTATGCAGTACTCCAAGAATAATCTCTCCTTTGTTATTTTTATAATTTGTTTATGGATATAGGTGTTGCTGACTCATTTACTGTGTATCCCCAATTGCTCTTGAGAAAGTGGCTGTGAGCTGGCTACTTAAATGGTTAAGGCACTCCCACAGTGCTACAATTAGACATTTTTTGGGGCTGTTTGTAATAAATGAATAGCTTGCTAAGCTTTTTCAGTGGGCAGTTACATGTCAATAATAAAATTGGGGTCTGGAGTCACCTGTGGGCCAGACCAGGTAAAGATGGCAGGAATCCTTCTCTGAAGGATTTTAGCAAACCAATTAGAATTTTATAACGATCCAGTAGTTCAGACTCAACATTAACAATACGAAATTTAATTCCAAAAATTTACTTATTTCATTCGTCGGATGTGGACTTTGCTGGTTGGCTAGAGTTTATTACCCATCCCTCAGTGCCTTTAAGGAGGTGGTGGTGAGCTGCCTTCTTCAACAGTTGCAATAGACTGGGTGTTAGGACACCCAGCCTGACGTTAGTGGGGGAATTGTGGGATTTTGACCCCGCGACAGTGGAATGAAAATAAATTTCCGTGTCAGGTTAGTGTGCAGCTCTGAGGGACACTTACAGATGGTGGCTTTCCCATGCATCTACTGCTCTTGTCCTCGGTAATAGAGGTCACAAAGTTGGAAAGTGCTGTCAAAGGAATCTTGGTGAGTTACTGCAGTGCATCTTATGGATGGTACACGCTATTGCCACTGTATGTCAGTGTGAAAGGAGTGAATGCTGAAGGGGGGCTGCTTTGTCCTGGATGGTGTCAAGCTTCTTAAGTGTATGAGCTACACTCATCCAGGCAAGTTGGGAATATTTCCTTTTCTCATCACCAAATCACCTGTGGTATTTTTTCAGCTATTAACAACCAGCAGTAAATCACCCATGTTTTCCCATTCATTAATTTACATTCAGAGCCCATTAAGAATAATGGACACCACCAAAGGTGAGGGAGATGTGGGGAGAGAGAGAGAGGGGGGTTTCTCCCAATGGTCTTATTATCAATATGCAATTTGCTCATGTGACTTGTACTTAATTTGTATTTGTACTTTTCATATATTAAACTACACCTTGTTGAGACAACAACTTTCCTTGTTAAAGTGCTCTAATGATTGTTCTTCTACCAGCATCAATTAAACAGGCCTTAGACTCAGCCAATGAAAGCTATAGCGTCCTTTTACCCTCAAATACCACATGGTATTCTTTACTGGGTATTGTTGCTTAATGCCACAAGATAAAGCTTGTTGTGGTGCAGCTGTAGTGTTCTAACCTTTGAGCCAGGAAAACCAGGTTCAAGTTCCATCTGTTCCAGAGGTGTGGAGCAGATGGAACATCTCTGGACAAGTTGATTAAAAACATCTGACACCACAAGGTAAGGGCTCTTGTGGTGCAGTGATAGTAACCCCACCTCTCAGCTAGGAGACGTGGGTTAAACTCCCGCCTGTTTCAGAGATGTGAAATAACATCACTCAACAGGTAGATTGAAAAATATCTAAAACCACAACATAGGACAATGCAAAATTCATTGAACCTATGAGGGGGGGAAATAAATCCAAAAGAACAAATACATTTACATATTAAAAGACTTTATCGCTTTAAGAACTACAATAATCTCCCCAGTATCTGGTACACAAAAGGAATTGGGGGGGAAGGAATTACTTGAATCTGCTGGTTGCATGAGAAATAACAGTGGTTGCTAGGAGACCGCAACTCATGAGTGGTTGGGACCACTCATAATTATCATAATAGGTGATTTTGTCTTTATCAATAAGGCAAGTCTTGAACTAGCTTTAATAAAGCATCTGATACATTATTCCCTTTCAAATGCTAAAACCACTAAAGTCTCCACTGTCTGGATCCGAAGAATTTGGAATTCCTCTTTTGAATCTCAGCTGCCGATTACTTGGGATCCAGGTAATGGGAAATTTACTGCACTTAAACAGCAGCTGCAAATGCTTGAAAAAACAAACAAACAATCAAAATTCATGGGAAAACAAATAACAGAACTCCAGGCTAAAGCCTTTACTCAAGACCTGGTAAGAAGTGTAGAAGAATCAGTGTGGGCTAGAGAAAGCATAAAGAACCATCACATCTGATAGAGCTCTGTGAATAAAGTTAGAAATCTCTGTTGGGCAAGGGGAAAATACTCAAATGTATGGTGTAAACTAAAACTGGATGAGGAAGCTTAGAAGTATCAAAATATAATACTTACAGCACACAGAGTGTTGGAGCCAAAGCAAGCAGACACTATGAGACACAGCTACTGTAGGAAATCAAGGACCATAGAAATGCTTCGTACTAAGGTTGCAGCATTGGGAATACCACAAAGTTAGAATTAGAACAAAGTACAATTTAAAGGTTAAAGCAGACAGAGTCTAAAAGAAGAAGATAATTACAAGGTGCTATAAAAGCAGGAGATCATAGTTCTGGTGGGCATAATATGACATAAGGCTTTATTTGGGTAAGTTGTGGAAAAAGATGTGTGTTGTGTAACTGGCCAAGAAAGGCAGGAAATCATCCTTTAATTTGCATAAAAAATGTGGAAAATCTCTATTCAGATCACAAAAACATAGGAGAACTCCAGTAAGCAATACAGTCATACAATTAAATTCACTACTTAATGGAGTTAAAAGGGTTAAAAGAGATGAAACAATACAGCTATAGTATAAGTTTGAAGACAAGGAAAATAAAACAGCATTGCTAGTCACAGAAGTTTAAGTCTTCAGCGAAGGAGATTACAACAGCATTTAGATTCTGCAGAATTAAAAACCTTTAAAATAAGAAGCATAAATAATCACAAACGAAAGACAAGGCAAGAGAACTTAAACAACTTGTGGGACTTAGATCAGGGAAGGGACAAATAGAACACCAGATTGAACATTTTGGAAAAAATGATTCTAAAGATAGAGGTAACAAGGTGTAGAGCTGGATGAACACAGCAGGCCAAGCAGCATCATAGGAGCAGGAATGCTGACGTTTT